CACTTGAATTAGGATGTCACCAGAGTGGTTGTGGAAAATATTTTCTGCCCTTACTTGGAGTTGAGGACTTCCATGGGCAAAACTGAACGTGAAATCTTGCAGGGGGTTTAAGTATCATTTTATCAGATAAAAACCCATGTCCTAAAGTTATCTCAGAAGGTTCGACTGTAACCATTTTGGGATTATTTTCAAGCTAAAAACATATGGATTTTCCACATATGTACAGTTATAGGTGTGTGTATTTGTATTTCTCTCTCTGCATATATTTACAACTGTACAATCAATCTATAGTATTTACAGATATATTTGATGATCAGCCTTTGCACTGCTAAGAATTTGTGAATCACCAGAGTGAAAAAGAGAATTTCATGACTGAATGGATATTTGAACTTGGACAAAAATGTGTCCAATGAATCATAACTAATGTAAAAGGTTATTCTTTATTGTGGCATGTTTGCTTATTTATTGTAATGTATACTTTTTTTCACATCATCTGCAACCGTTTTATAAAAAATTAAAGTTACATTTTTCTTACAGACCGAGAAGATGTCAATAAGAGCCCTCTGGAAAACTGAGAATAACAAGCCACATTGGAAAAGAAAGCAAAGCCAGCCAGAAATCAAAATATTTTCCATTTCCTTCACAAAATCACAAAATTCTTCTTTCCAAGCAGTTGAGAGACAAAGGAAAGAAAATTAAGAGGAGGTTTCAAGGTAGAAAAAGTAGAGTATGATAAACTCAAGAATACGTTACATGAAAGATCAAGGGTGCTTATGTTTCATTCAGAAAAATAGGGGTATCTCTGGAACTCAGCGGAAAGAAAAAGATATTTTGGATAGCCATATAGGGCTGACAGCGATGCAGACCTAGCCCTGTGAGGAGGAAAACAGCTGGAATTAAAGCACCAGTAAATAAATCATCACACGTACAGTATATTTGACCTCAAGAATATTGCTGTTGGAAAAGCTCCTATTGTGCCTATGATGGGAAAAGTACAGATTGTAAATCACAACTGATTATTCAGGAGAGGATCCATATTGTAGAAAAGCCATAGTAATGCTATAAATGTGAGAAATAGTTTAGTCTGAACAGCTCTCTTGTGGTTCATCAAAGGACACATATAGGACAGATGGCCTGCAAGTGCTTTCAATGTGGTGAAAACTTTAGCAAGCATAGCAAAATCAGAGGACTCACACAGGAGAGAAACCATATGAGTGTCCAGAGTGTAGGAGATTTTTCAGTCATAATTCCACTCTAGTAACACACCAGAGAACTAACAAGAACAGAAGTGTATAAATGTCCTGAATGTGGAAAAAGTTCCAGTTGTATTTCTAGACAAATAAGACACAAGAGGATTAACACATGTTCAGAATGTGGGAAATGTTTCAGTAATAATTCCGACCTGGTGACACACCAGAGGACTCACACAGAGGACAAACCATGTGAGTATCCCGATTGTGGCAAAGGTTTCAGTCAGAATTCCGGCCTAATGACACACCAGAGGACTCATTTCCAGGACAAATTGTATGAATGTCCTGATTGTGGGCAAAGTTTCCATAAGAATTCCAGCCTTGTGATACACCAGAGGACACACACAGGAGAAAAACCATATGAGTGCCCAAAATGTAGGAAACGTTTCAAAAGGAATTCCCACCTGGTGACACACCAGAGGACTCATACCTTGGAGAAACCATATGAATGTTCTGAGTGTGGAAAAGGTTTCCGATGGAATTCCCACCTAGTATCACATCAGAAGACTCACACGGGAGAGAAACCATATGAGTGTCCAGAATGTGGGCGATTTTTCCGTCATAATTCTACCCTAGTGACACACTTGAGAACTCACACAGGAGTGAAGCCGTATGAATGTCCTGAGTGTGGGAATAGTTTCAGTCATATCTCCAGTCTGATAAGGCATCAGAGGATTCACACAGGAGAAAAACCGTATGAATGTTCAGAATGTGGGAAATGTTACAGTAATAATTCTGATCTGGTGACACACCAGTGGAGTCACACAGAGGACAAACCATATGAGTGTCCAGATTGTGGCAAAAGTTTCAGTCAGAATTCCAGCCTAATGATACACCAGAGGACTCATTCCCAGTATGAATGTCCAGAGTGTCAGAAATGTTTCAGTCATAATTCCTGCCTGGTAACACACCAGAGGACTCACACAGGAGAAAAACCATATGAATGTTCAGAGTGTGGAAAATGTTTCAGTAAGAATTCCAACCTGGTAACACACCAGATGACACACACAGGAGAAAAACCGTATGAATGTTCAGAGTGTGGAAAAAAATTCAGACAGAATTCCACCTTGGTGAGACATCAGAAGACTCACACACAGGAAAAACCATATGAGTGTCCAGAGTGTGGGAAAAGTTTCAATTATATTTCCTGTCTGATAAGACACCAGAGGACTCACACAGGGGACAAACCATATGAATGTCCAGATTGTGGCAAACGTTTCAGTCAGAATTCCCACCTGGTGACACACCAGAGGATTCATATCCTGGAGAAACTCTATGAATGTCCAGAGTGTGGGAAAAGGTTCAGTAATAATGGCAGCCTGGTGACACACCAGAGGATTCACACAGGAGAAAAAATGTATGAATGTCCTGTGTGTAGAAAAAGTTTCAGATGGAATTCCCATTTGGTGACACACCAGAGGACTCACACAGGAGAAAAACCGTACGAGTGTCCAGAGTGTGGGAAAAGTTTCAATCATATTTCCAGTCTGATAAGACACCAGAGGACTCACACAGGGGAGAAACCGTATGAATGTCCAGATTGTGGCAAAAGTTTCAGTCAGAATTCCCACCTGTTGTCACACCAGAGGACTCATAACCTGTAGAAACTATATGAATGTCCTGAGTGTGGGAAAAGTTTCAGATGGAATTCCCACCTGGTATCACATCAGAACACTCACAGGGGAGAGAAAGTGTATGAGTGTCCAGAATGTGGGAAAAGTTTCAATTATATTTCCAGTCTGATAAGACACCAGAGAACTCACGCAGGACAAACCTTATGATTGTCCAGATTATTGCAAAAGTTTCAGTCAGAATTGTGGTCTAATAACACACTAGAGGACTCATTCCCAAGACAAACCGTATGAGTGTTCCAGAGTGTGGGAAAGGTTTCAGTCATAATTCCAGTCTGGTGACACACCAGAGAACTCATACCCTTTATAAAAGCTAAGATCAGCAGAACTTTCTGGATATTTTCTTTAGCAGAACTGTTGAATTCTTCAAAAAGGCTTTTTGGGTGGTGTTTTTTTATATTGATTATGGAATTCTCACAATTGGAGTTTCCATCTTCTACCTTGGTGTTCTCTAGATTTTGAGTGCCACAATTTCCCAAGCACCATACAAGTATAGTGCTCAAGATATAAGGCTAATGGGGGGGGGGGGTAATCAATTGCGGCTTTATGTTGCAATTACAATTACTGTTTTATGTTGCAATCACCGTTAAGCAAGACTGCTTTCCTTAACTACCCCCACCCCCTTTTCTCCCTGATAAAGCTGTTCAATGAATGTGTGAGTTATTAAGCGGAACACTGGCTACCTCAGGGTTGTAGGCATAACCGAGGCCCAGGATTGCATTCCAAAGCCCTCCTCTACCACAACCCTTTGGTCGCCCCAGTCCTTCCTCTTTTCCACAGGGTCCCCACAGGCTTTTTCCCACTCCCACTGGCAGGCCTCAAAGCCTCCTCTTCCTTACAGTTTGAAGATCACTGAACCTCATTTTTTTTGTAATGCATTTTTTTTATTTTTTCCAATATAAACATATGTTGTGGATAATGCATTGACTGGGTCACGTCTTTTTTTTAAAGAACTCTGTTAACAATAATAATACAAATAGTATGTGGAATTCCAATCTTCCAACTTCAACAATACTAGTCTCATTTCATATTCCTTTTACATTTTCCCATTCATTCATTAAAACATAAATAACATTTTGTTTGCACCTTATATTTTGTTATCCCTTACATAGTGTTCTGATTCAATATTTTAAAATCACTCATTATTCCATCATAGTATCAATATTCCAAATATGTGGGATTACTAATAACACCAATTATTAACAATATTCAATCTATCACAGGAGTATATCTCAAAGTCCCACCATTTCTAATCCTTAATATCTTAAATTCACACCGTTAGCATTAACAATACAGTCAAATTATCCACCCTTAAATTACCATCTACTAATCTAAGTTTATTGGTGTTATAATATTTCCCCATTGTATTAATATATTTTCTCATTATTCATCATCTCTTAATCTTTCTAAATTTCCATCATTTCTTAATTTTTTGATCAGCCTTTTATCTTGTATTTGTTATCCCTTACTAAGTGTTATCAACCAATATTTTAAAATCTCTCATTATTCCACCATAGCATCAATATTCCAAATGTGTGGGATTACTAACTATTCAATCCATCATGGGAATGTATCTCAAAATCCATTTCTAATCTTTAATATTTTAAATTCACAAATATTTTAACACACTTAGTATTAATAAGAGTTAAATTACCTACTCTTAAATTACCATCTACTAATCTAAGTTTATTTGGGTTATATTTCCCCATTTTATTAATATACAGTATTTTCTCATTATCCATCATCTCAATCTTTCTAAAATTCCATCATTTATTGAATTGATTTTTTGATCAGCCTTTTGTCTCTGTCTCTTGGAATCTTATATCACTTTTTTATTTTTTAATATCTACTAAACTTTCCCTTCTGGGCGCCTTTCATCTCTTTCTGTTGCATTATTTGAACATCCATCCACAAAACTTCATTTTGTTTTTTTTAAACATATTTTTATCTTTTCTCTCTCTTCCATTATAAATTGAGGGTTTAAGTAATTGTCTTCTACTTACTGGTGGAGGGATCACTGAACCTCATTTTGGGGAAAGAGGGCAGGACATACCTCCCTGGCACACATGACTGTATTGTGGAAGCATCCGTCATTTTCATTGTGCCTGGAACTCCTCCCTGAGCCATGCACTGGGTTTGTGGAAGAGCTGCCATTTTGCTACCTGCCTGTGGGTCAAAATAAGGGCTGTTTCTGGGTCATTGACTTTCAGGAAGGGGAGAAACTACTCTGTTTTGCTACCTTAACACTGCAGACTGCCTTAAAGGATTGTGGGTGCACTAAAAATGATGACTGCTTCCAGGAGATCTTCAAAATGTAAGTGCAATGGGTGACAGGTGTGCTGGGCGGAAAAAAAAGCAGTGTAAAATTTCACATTTAGAGGCTGTTCTGCCTTGAACATGAACCCGATGCAGAAGAGCTGTAGGAATATTGAGTTGAGGAGAAAAGGGATTGTGTTTTGATCACAGCATCTCCAGGTTTATCATTTTTTGGAGGTGTCTACTTGTTTCCTTTTGATGGCTGCTGGGTGACAGCAGCACCATAATGTGCCGAGGTGGCGCAGTGGGTAGAGTGCAGTACTGCAGGCCACTTCAGCTGACTGCTAGTTCAGCAGTTCAAATCTCACCGGCTCAAGGTTGACTCGGCCTTCCATCCTTCCGAGGTGGGTGAAATGAGGACCCAGATTGTGGGGGCGATATGCTGACTCT